GAATTTTGGGTCAAATCTGAGCAAGTTTTAGTTGAAATTTGGCTCCAATTTTGGGTCAATTTTGACTCCAATTTGGCTCAAATTCAACTCAAATTCGAGTCGAATTTTGGGTCAAATTTGAGCAAGTTTTGGCTGAAATTTGGCTCAAATTTGGGCTGAATTTTGGGTCAAAACCAGCCAATTTTGGGTATTTTTTTTGTTCAGTGCGTGTCGACGCTGCTGATGCTGGTGACGGGCGACATTTACACCCTCATTAATTACGTGGGGTTCGTTAATTACCTGTGGTACGGAGTCACCGTCGCCGCCCTCCTCGTCCTGCGCCGCACCGAGCCACACCTGCCCCGCCCCATCAAGGTGGGACACGCCCCCTTTGGGCCTCAAGCCACGCCCCTTTCACCCCTAAACTCCTCCCACTTTGTCCCCTGAGCCCCGCCCCTTTCTGGCCCAAACCACGCCCACTTCCAACTCAAACCACGCCCCTTTCTCCCTTAAACCCCTCCCACTTTGTTCCCTGAGCCACGCCTCTTTCTGACCCAAACCACGCCCCTTTCTCCTTTACGTCCCACCCACCACATCCCAGAAACCCCACCCCTTTCTGGTCCAAGCCACGCCCCCTTTTGTCCTGAAGCCACACCCCTTTCACCCCTAAACCCCTCCCACTTTGTCCCTTGAACCCCGGCCATTTCTGACCCAAACCACGCCCACTTTCTGCATCAAACCACGCCCCCTTTTGTCCTTAAGCCACACCCCTTTCTCCCTTAAACCCCTCCTACTTCGTTCCCGAATCCCTAAAAAATCTCAAAAAAAGTTGTAAAAAAATCCCTAAAAAACCCCCCAAAAATCCCTAAAAAGGTTGGAAAAAATCTCTAAAAAAATCCCCAAAAAATCCTTAAAAAAATCTCAAAAAAAGTCGTAAAAAATCCCTAAAAAACCCCCAAAAATCCCTAAAAAGGTCGTAAAAAATCCCTAAAAAAATCCCCAAAAAATCCTTAAAAAAATCTCAAAAAAAGTCGTAAAAAATCCCTAAAAAACCCCCAAAAAATCCCTAAAAAGGTCGTGAAAAATCCCTAAAAAAATCCCCAAAAAATCCTTAAAAAAATCTCTAAAAAAGTTGTAAAAAATCCCCAAAAAATCCCCCAAAAACTCCTAAAAAAAAAAAACCTCCTAAAATCTCAAAAAAATCATTAAAAAATTCCAAAAAATCCCTAAAAAATCCCCCCAAAAATCCCTAAAAAGGTTGTAAAAAATTCCTAAAAAATCTCCAAAAAATCCTTAAAAAAATCTCAAAAAAGTCGTAAAAAATCCCTAAAAAATCCCCCAAAAATCCCTAAAAAGGTTGTAAAAAATCCCTAAAAAAATCCCCAAAAAATCCTTAAAATAATCTCTAAAAAAGTTGTAAAAAACCCCTAAAAAATCCCAAAAAGTCCCTAAAAAAAAATCCCAAAAATCTCCAAAAAATCCCTAAAAACATCGTAAAAAAAAGGAAGAAAAATCTCCAAAATCCCCCAAAAATCCTTAAAAAATCCCACAATAATCCCTAAAAAAAAATCCCAAAAATCCCCAAAAAATCCCTAAAAAATCCCTAAAAAAAATCCCCAAAATTCCTTTAAAAATATCCTAAAAATCTCCGACTCCTCCCCCCAAAAAATCACTTTAAAAATCATTAAAAATTCATTTAAAAACATCATTAAAAATCATTTAAAAATCATTAAAAATCATTAAAAAATCCGAAAAAAAACCCCCAAAAAATCAGAAAAATCCCCAAAAAATTCCTAAAAAAAATTCCTAAAAATCTCCGACTCCTCCCCCCAAAAAATCATTTTAAAAAATCATTAAAAATTCATTTTAAAAAAATCATGAAAAATCATTTAAAATCATTAAAAAATCATTAAAAATCGTAAAAAATTCCCTAAAAATTCCCCCCAAAATCCCAAAAATTCCCTAAAATTTTCCTCAGTTTTTTTCCCTATTTTCATTTTTAAAAATCATTAAAAATCATTTAAAAATCATTAAAAATCATTTAAAAAACCATAAAAATTCATTAAAAAATCCGAAAAAAATCTAAAAAAAATCTGAAAAAAATCCGAAAAATCCCCAAAAAATCCCAAAAATCCCTAAAAATCCTTAAAAAAAATTCTCCAAAAATCCCCCTAAAATTCCCCTCAAAATCCTGTAAAAAAAGTCAAAAAATCCTTAAAAAATTGGTTAAAAATAATAAAATATCATTTAAAAATCACTAAAAAAATCATAAAAATTCATTAAAAAATCGTAAAAAAATCCGAAAAAAATCCGAAAAATTCCTAAAAAAAATTCCTAAAAATCTCCGACTCCTCCCCCCAAAAATCATTAAAAATTCATTTAAAAAAATCATTAAAAATCATTTAAAAATCACTAAAAAAATCATTAAAAATCATTAAAAAATCCAAAAAAAATCCGAAAAAAATCAGAAAAATTCCCAAAAAATCCCCAAAAATTCCCACGAGTTTTCCTGAATTTTTTTCCCATTTTTCCCTCAGGTTTCCCTGTTTTTCCCGGTGCTGTACCTGCTGTTCTGGGGGGCCCTGTTGGTGTTCTCGGTGTGGGCGGAGCCTCTGGTCTGCGGGGTGGGTTTGGGGGTCATGGCCACGGGGGCCCCCCTTTACCTGCTGCTCGTCCGGGGGGGCCACAAACCCCCCCAGATCCGACGTTTAGT